TTTAGAGTCATTGCTTGTGCAACTAACTGACATGATGATTGTTTATTGTGGTATGTATTTGTTATTTTTTTGATAGTATCCCATAGTGCTTTAGGGTTTTTACCTGCTTTCCTTATTTCTTGAGCATCATAATATCTTTTTGCTTTCTTTAAAATTTTAGTGCAGAAGTTTCTATACCGCTTATAAGTGATAGACAGCGTTAAGTTATTAGGAGACTTTTTTAATTTTCTATGCATTGAATCTCTATTTCTTATACATCTTAATAAGCCTGGTGTCATCCACGGTTTAAGTATTCTATTTCTGGACGATATTTTTTTAAGTGATGAATTTTCAGCTATTGCATCCGAAAAAAGTTTAATAAGAGTTTCAGTTGCGGTATTAGGATCTAACATGGAATAAATAGGTGTTAAGTGAAGTTTTTCGACTGTTTTATCAAGTTTGACAAAGTCAACTTTTGAAATAGTGGAAATTACATTATTTTGTCTTTCATTCTTGATACCCAAAACAGAGGCATAATGGTCAGTGATAGTGGTATCGAAAACCAAAGCTACAGCCATGTATTTGGTGCGCAAGATAAAGTGATCAATGCAGTTTTCTCCTCTGGTTGGGAGGGTGTGAGCAGGAATAAGGCTATGATATGCGAGACAATTAAGATATTCATGGCTGCGTATATCTAAAGAAGAAGATTTTATATCTAGATTTATATCTCCAGTTATTATGACTGTCTTACATTTGGTAAGCGGTGTAAGTGTAGCGTTGAGTATCGAAAGAAACTCATTTATGTTGTCATTTGATGGTGATCGATAAATGCAAATAAGCACTGTATCCGAGTCAATCGTAGCGATTAGTCCAGACGCCGCATTGTTAAAATTTATTTCTTCAATATTTACCAAGAAACATGATTTAATGTAAATAATTACCCCATCACTTTGATTTTGATGTTTACAAGTTTTGTACATAGTGTAGTGGTGTATATAAGGAATATTTTGATTACTTGAGCAGGGCAACCAACACTCTGTCAAAACCAACACGTCGCAATCAAATGAGATTCGGTCAAGTAAGGTCTGTAGACTAAGAAAGTTGCAATTTATCGATCTTATATTTTGATTTAGTATCTTTAGGAATTTGTTTGGTTGTTTAATGTAATCTTTAGCCTCTTCCGGAGTACAGTAATAGGTTTCACTTATAGTGCACTGGTCTATATTCTCGATGTATGAGTTAATATTATTTGCCATTTTTATTATAAATGTTTGAGACGTATAATTTGTGTATGTAAGAGAATAAGATTGCATTGTTTATTTGAACAATAGAATGTATTGAAAGGGTGTAGTTAATTACATAAACAAAAAATGTAATAATTGAGGTATTTTTAAGTTCTAGTTGACGGGCATACGTTTTATAATGGTTAGTATAGCGTTTGACGTGCAATAGCGTATATAATTTAAAGCAAGATCTAATAGCGCAATTATGCATATTATGTTGATTATGATGAATGATTATCAGGAATAATGAAGTATTAATGGAATGTTTAATTGTGAATAGTGTGAGAATAATCACAAGTCTGATGAGTGAGTGTAAGTATTTGTGTGTAGTATGTTTTATTTGTTGGTTTGTAAGTTTGTGTAGTGTTTGTGTTGAGAAACTAAATTTTAAAACTAATCTTATAATTATTGTTATGAAAAACGAAGAAATAAACCTTAAAATTAACATGCAGTAACGTAATGAATAATCAAAAAGAGTGTTAAGGCAAAAAGAAGCAATATCTAGTCATTCACATTTTAGATCCTCAAATTGGGCTTCATTTCTAATTAATATCGCAGGTGATCCGTCTGATTTTCGTATGAAAACTTTTCCGTTTGCAGTCCAGCAAAACTTGTACATTTTTTCTTTTGAATACTGGCGTGCCAAGTAGCATATTTTCTTCGTACTAGGGGTTAGATATTCGGATACGTACACTGGAGCAGCACTAGTATTTATACCAAAATGTGACACATTAAGTTTTTTACTGGGGTTGTTCTTATTAAAGGATTTCACAGAGCTAAGTATTGTCTGCTTTTGTGAGATGTTTGCTAATTCAACAATCAGAGGCCTAATGGAACCCTTTTTTCCGGGGCCACGAAACATATCCTTAACATCACACGATTGCAAATTAATATTTAATGTTTTCGAGAGGTGCATCACTAATTGTGTTAAATCATCTTTGTTTTCATTTTCTTTTTCAGGAATATTACGTATCTCTATGCCATTTCTTCTGCTGTTTCGATAAAGTTCCTCAACTTTTTCTTCCAGAGACATAATATATTTATAGTTATCTTTACACTGTTTTTCAAGGGTTATTATTTTCTTTTGCATATCCTCATATTTCAGGGATATAAATTCAAGTGACTTTTCTATATCCGTTTTTATCTTCTTGATATTTGCAAGACTATTTTCCATTTTAGATAGTTTGTTGTCGTGATCAGTTTTCCATGATTTCAGCATTTGCATAACTTCTTCCTTGAACGAAATAAAGTCATCCCTTGAGAGTTCATCGTGACGTCTTTTTTGTCTTGAAACCGCAAACGAAGAGGGGGTTTTCGGTTGTTTGGAGATATCGGAGTCTGATCCAGCTTTAGTAGGTGAACGAAGCATGTTGATTTTTAAATATGTCGAGCAAAGCAATAATTTTCTGAAGATTAGCTATTTTATAACAGCAGGCGCTTTTTGAGCAAAAGCGGTGGGTGGAGCCAAAAATTATGCAGCAAATGTATTCACGCTGACAGTATACAAAGGGCGTGGCTTACCTCTTCGATGAAGCAGGAAGCTACTACATTACAAGTATGTTGCCCTGGTACAGGCACGAATTTTTTAGTTTATTTTTGAGAAACTTTTTGACCAATTATTTAGTTATAAAAACAACAATCACGGAGGACACGTCTGTTCGCTTTCGCGGTCCGGGGGGAAGGGGATATATATAGAAAGTTACTTTACTTTACTTTTACATTTACTAAATAAATAGTGTCATAATACAGGAGAAAATCTTAGGGTCGAGGTAGCGTTTTTATAATAAGAGAAAAAAGACAAATCGGCGGTATATTCTACTACAACAGTATTTTGAAATCTGTGCGAAACAACATAAATTCTACGCATTTCGAAGAGAGCCTTGAAGTTACGCGGGCTTTAATAATAAGTCCCATTACTGTCATTATTTAGGGCTTCCTTGGTCTTCCTCCAAAAATTAAAGCAAGACGAGAATCTAGCCATTTTAAATGACTTTATATTTATATTTTTAAATGACATTTACACTCAGAAATAATTAAATTAAATTAATTATAATTTCCTATTCATATAAATGTCGTTAGTTTGTAAATAGACGAACGCTGGAATTATGCCTGCTTCAGGTTTTTTTTATAGAATAAAGGTGACAAGCGAGCACACAGTCTACCTAATTGGTTGCTGTGGACCATAAACATCTACATCTATTCTCGATTACGAATCAAAATGCAGATGCGTTGTCACCCGTGAAGACTAAGATGGAATGCTTCATTTCCAGTAAAAAGGGTCTCCGGTTCTCTACACTCACCATACGAAACACAGCAGCATTAAGCTGCTATTTTACGCTGGTATTCTGTGAGAGCGTGGTTCATCCCCGATAGAGCCGACTCATTCGTGCCACAACTATACAACTAAGATGCAGCATGCTGCAGCATGGCTCTACCACGTACAAAAGAATATGCCATTGACACTGTGGCATAATAAATAATAAATTATCAAATCAACTGAATAATGTTAAATATTTTTTTGTGTAGCTAAATTCGATAAGCATTGTTGTTTAAGTTACTTGACCATTAATATTTACACACCACTAAGGTAGCATATGTAGAACGAATTATACTCAAACACCATTGTAGGCACAACCATATTCTTGGAAACAAACATTATTATTATGGGGCATCTATAAAGTTTTCTCATCTGGTTGGGCAATATAAATATATAATTGTAAATAAACATGATAAACGTACATAAATATCAATAAAATAAATAAATACATAAAAAATACATAAATATATAAAAACCCAACCAGATGGAAGCCCCCGGCAGAGGAGACAAGACGGCCGAGGGTTAGGGGGAAAGGGAAAGAAACCGGCGGACGATGCGGGCGGTATCGAGGAGCACCGCCTTCTGCATTTGAGCTTGGGGCGGTCCGTTACGGAGTCCCAGTCGCCTCAGATGACCCGAGAGGCTGACTGGAATTAACCCATTCGCAGAGACGACTACAGGTATAATTTCGGCCGGCAATCCACCCCACATGTCGGTCACCTCGTGACCCAGGTCCAGATATTTAGTCAGCTTATCTGTTTCGACTTTCACGAGGTTCTCGTCATAAGGAATGGTAATGTCGACCAAAAATATCCTTGACTGTGTCCGGTACATCAGTACAATATCAGGCTTATTCGCAAGAATAGTCCTTCTGTGATGATAATCCAGTCCCAGTAGAGCCTGGCGCGGTCATTTACGAGCACGGCTTCCGGCAAGTACTTATAATACGGCAGTTTCCGATCAACGAGACCGTATTTCAGAGCGAGCTCCTGGTGTAGAATCCTGGCTACTAAGTTGTGCCTGTGCAAATACTCAGAGTTAGAAAGCGCCGAACAACCGGAGATGACATGCCTAAATGACTCACCGGGATGGCGACAAGCTCAACAGACGTCATCGGTGCCATCTTTTAGGATGTATCTCCGATAATTGTTGGTCTTAATAACCTGATCCTTTATCGCACAGACAAAACCCTCGGTTTCCCCAAAGAAGTCACCGAAACGTAGCCAGTGGAGGGAGACGACTGTGTCTATAAAAGGCTCATGTAGAGCCTTGTAGAACCTCCCGTGGAGCTCCTTCTCCTTCCATACGATTTCCCGGTCGGAAATGCTCTGTACTGCCGGGTCTTGCCATTGCTCGTTGGCTAAGGATAGAGGGGTAAGTCCTTTATCACAAGAAATAACGTCCCTATTCATCCGCTCTCTTCAGAAAGTACGGAGGCTGCACACTTCGCGATTATGCATGGTAAGCGCGCTTAAAAAGCCGCGACCACCATGTTTCCGCGGCAAGTACAGCCTCATTACTGACGATCTCGGATGATGCATCCTGTATGACGTCATTATAGTGCGGACTTTTCTGTCCAGAGCGTTCAGTTCGGTCTGAGTCCACCTGAGCATGCCAAAGGTATACATGAGAACAGGCAGGATCCAACCGTTATATGCGTGCGTCTTATTCACACCGGACAAAAGGCTGTTAAGCACTTTGGTCAAGCGTGCATAAAACACATCGCAAAGTGACTGTTTCATACCCGCCTCATCTACACCGATGTTCTGTGACATACCCAGGTAACGGTATGTTTCAGCCTCGGAAAGGGTGTTTATGTTGATGGGCATAGATAAGTCTATGCCCTCAGAGTTAGCAACCCTTCCCCTTTCAACATGGAGGATCGCACACTTATCCGTCCCCAGCTCCATTCCAATTGAATTGCTAAAATCACACGTGATGTTTAGCAATTCCATAAGATGGGAGCGACTGGAGGCGAATAACTTGAGATCATCCATGTAGAAAAGGTGGGTCACTTTTGTACCTCCTTTTCGAAGCTGAAGTCCCCTCCCGGAGCCCTCCAGTAAGGTACTGAGAGGGTTCAGAGAGAGGCAGAACCAGATTGGACTCAAACAATCGCCCTGGAAGATACCCCTTCTTATCCTTATGTGGTTTTCCGCAGCCGTCATCCACTGGCCTAGATGACAAAGGATCGTACTCCACTGCCCCATACACTGCCCGAGGAAGTCTCGAAACGTACATACAACCTTGTACAGGTCGAGGACCCTCTTTAGCCATGTATGAGGCACCGAGTCGAAAGCCTTTTTGTAGTCTATCCAGGCGGCGGAGAGGTTCCGACGGTTGCGTTTAAACACCTTGCCAACGACCGCGTTAATGAGGAGTGGTTCCTTGGGTCCACGACCAATGCCCCGGCATCCATTTTGAGCGCGCGACATCACCTGATTTGAGTTCAGGTGACGAGTGATTCTCGCGCTCAAAATGGATGTAAGTGTCTTGTATGTGGTAGATAGACACGTTATGGGGCGGTATTTGCTCGCTCAGTCAGGCGAGCACAGCGTGACACACCACGAACCCCTTCAGCCAGTAGTGATGCAGTCCGTCGAGTCCCGGACTTTTCCAGTTCGGGGCCTTACGGACCGCCTCAGCTACATCATCCGACGTTATGATGACGGGGTCCATGGGCGTAATATTTGCACACTGACTCGCCACAACTTCCGTCCAAGGGCCCTCGCTGTGGTGTACGGGCTCTGACCACAGGCCGCTCCAGAATGCGATAGTGTCGGCCTGATGCGGTGCTGGGCCCGTTCCACGTACCATTGGTCGCTCCAATGATTCATAGAGCCTCTTCTGATCACTCTGGAAGAGACGATTCTGGTTGAACCGTGTCGACCTCTCGGTATATCGCCGAATCCGCTTCCCCCAAGCAGCGATTCTCTGCTTCAGGTCGCTTATGCGCTCCGTCAGTTTTCGCGTTATATTCCGCAGTTTGTCCCAGCAAACTCCATTCTGACGGTGCGCACAATTCTCGGCCTATAATTGCCCGACCTGAAGCTTATCAGTCTGCCGATGAGGGCCCTTGCCTTTGCGATACGGTCTTCAATCCTTCTTCTCCAGGCTGGGATTGCGCTACTGTGTCTAGTAGCGCGTCCAGCCGTGGGAAGTTTGGCGCCAATAATACGGCAAACTGCCAGTGCGGCGCCAAAAAGAATTGAGTCCCTGTCGCAAAGGTCCCGGCTGGCTTCCAAATAGGTTACTAGCATTGGGTTGAGAGCCCTCACGACAGCCCGATTCCGCTTGCTTAGGGGTATACGGGGAAGTCGCGGTCGATTCTCGAGAGGCGTACAGCGCGAAAACAAAGATTATTATTATTAATATTAATCATAATAATTGAACCAACGGTTCAAATTAGTGGCTGCTTAGATAAACAGAAACAGTAATATTTGATTTGATTTGCATTGAATGATAACCTGGCTAATATTTGGAGGCCCTGGGTTCAAATCAACAGCAACTTAACCTACTCTTATATTACGTCCATCTAATAAGTAGTTATAGTTAGAAAATAGCTAATCTTAAATTTCCGCCACCATTTAGTTTTTAAGTATTTATTCGCAAATGTTCGTCCGAGTAAAACTCATCTTATGCCCACTTTAAGTAGAAAATGTTTGCCTTATGAACCCTTTGTGAGTGAACTCGGCGAGGCTCATTACTGCGACTCGTTTCAATGCGATGCAACAGCTGTTAAAACGTGACTTAAGGGGAACTTCTCTTCAGTTTTAGTGTTTAATATTATTTCAAAATCAGAATAGTAACGAAAACCTTGCATTTAAATTTTCTATTTCCATTTTTAAATTTTATGTAAATATTTAGTTATTGTACATATAATTTCAGCTAACAATGTCGTGTAAAAGTATAGTGCAAAACGCAACACATGTAAAGAAAAAAATTAAAGTTGTGATTTATTTTAATTAACTGTTGCTTTTAACATAACATAAACACTCACGCCTGTCACCCAGAGGGGTAGGCAGAGATTATGGACTTCCATTTGGCACGATCCTGACACACCTCTCTCGCTTCCTCCACATCCATATACCTACGCATACATGCTCGTCGGTTAAAGGTACTCTTGATTTGACCCATTTTTAATATATCGCCAATTTGGCCGATAAACTTTCGCCTAGGGCGACCCTTCCCGACTATGCCGTTCACCTCTGCAACATAAATTTGCTTTGTCACTCTTTCCTCATTCATTCTTTCTACATGGCCAAACCACCGAAGCATTCCTTTTTTAACCCTGGTCACAACATCATCTTGCAAACCACACTCTTCTCTTATTAAACAATTTCTCACTCTGTCATTCAGATTCATCCCTAACATACTCCTTAATGACCGCATTTCTACAGCATTTATTCTACTCTCATGCTTCTTCTGCCACACCCAACTTTCACTACCATACATTAAAGTAGGTACTAACACAACATTGTGAATTGCCATACGTGCCTTTTTGGACACATTCTGACTTTTCACAATAGAGTGTAGATCCCCATTCACTCTATTTCCTGCATTCACTCGTCGTTCTATATCCTTATCATATCTACCATCCCTGCTAAACACACATCCCAAATATACAAACTCATCTACTTGCTCTACCAGCTCCCCTTCTATTCTTATTTCACATATCGTTTAGTCGGTATCATCCTTTCAGAAAGAATGGATCATTGTGTGAAAGAGTATGAATGTGTAAGCCCGAGACTGCTATGGATACGAATGAAAGTGGGCTTAAAGAAGTTGTTTGTTTTAGGGGTCTACGCCCCAGACATGTCTAAGCCCACTTATATCCGAGAGCAGTTTTGGGAGTTGGTAAGGATGGTGCTAATGAAATGCAAGGTTAATGAAAATATTGTGATATTAGGCGATTTTAATGGAAGGGTTGGGGTGAGGAGGCTTGGTTATGAAAGGATATTGGGAACGTTTGGTGATGAAAGTATAAATGAGAATGGTGAAAGCCTTCTCGCCGTATGCGCGGAAAAGAGTCTTGTTGTGACGAACACTTTCTTTCGTCATAAGAAGATTCACACGTATACATGGGAAAGAGGTGATGATAGAAGTATGATAGATTTCATAATTGTCGATGAAAGAATGAGGAGCACGGTGGTAGATACAAGGGTTTACTGGGGCTCTAACGTAGGGACGGACCATTACTTGGTCTTATGCCGAATTAATGGTCTTTTCAGACGTTGGAGGCATCGGACATCTGTGTCTACCACTGCGTTACAGCGTATAAGAACAGAGAGGTTACAAGATGAAGGTGTGAAAGAGAAGTTCAAATGTAGATTGAGAGAAAATATAAGTGGTATGGCTGAATTGTGTATGAATGATTTAGTATTGGAGACTGTGTGGTATAATGTCAAGAAAGGTTTAGTGGATGCAGCTACCGAAGCATGTGGTGTAAGTAAGAGAACGAATGAAAGGAAAAATAACACGTTGTGGTGGGATGATGAGGTACGGATGGAAGTTGAAGCAAAGAAGAAAGCATGGCTAGATTTACTAGCAACAAAGGCTAGTAATTCTAGCAGTATGAATGATGATATTGAAAGGAAAAAGGCAGTTTTTAGACACCTAAATATGAGAGTAAAAGAAGTAGTTGAAAGGAAAAAGCAAGAAAGAACGGATATGAATGATAGAAGAATATCGGATAACTTCCAGGCAAACATTAAAATGTTCTGGAAACTCGTAAGAACTGCCAGGGGGCATTCAAAACAGCCTAGAATGAATGCTATACGAGACCAGAATGGCTGTATTCTGAATGACGAAGTTTTGAGTTTAAGGAGATGGAAGGAATACTTTGAAAGCGTGTTTATGAGTGATGAGACGTTTGAATTAAATGAAATAGGAATTCCGAAAGAAGAGAAAATAGATAGAGATATAAGTATAGATGAAATAATGAAAGCAATGAAAAGTATGAAAGCAGGTAAGGCAGCCGGTTATGATAGAGTATCTCTCGAAATGCTAAGGGCTGGAGAAGGAGTGGTGGCAGACCTGCTGTACACCTTGTTTAATTTATGTTGGGAACTTAAGCGGGTACCGGGAGACTGGTGCAAAGCCGTGATAGTCCCAATATATAAGGGAAAAGGATCACAGCAGGATTGTAAAAACTACCGTGGTATCAGCCTTCTTAGCATTGTGGGAAAACTGTATGCTAAGGTACTAATTGAAAGAGTTATGAAAGAAACTGATGGAAAAATTTGGGATGTGCAAGCGGGATTTAGAAAGGGAATGGGATGTACGGATCAGGTCTTTTCCATGCGCATGATCGCGGAGAAGTTTTTGGCCAAAAACCAAAAAGTTTTTTGTGCGTTCATAGACTTGGAGAAGGCTTATGACAGAGTGGACAGGGATGTGTTATGGCAAACATTGAACTCATTTGGGTTGACCGCTGGTCTGATACAGGCATTGAAGTCTCTATATAGGGACTCTAGTGCTTGTGTCAGGATCAACGGGGCCTACTCGGACTGGTTTGGCATCCATAAAGGTGTCAGACAGGGCTGTGTGGCTTCCCCGTGGTTGTTCAACCTATTTATGGACAGTTGTTTGGAAAATTTGAAAGTAGAAGAATGCGGGTTAAGAATGGGTGAGTTAACCGTCAAATGCCTTTTGTACGCCGATGATCAAGTCATACTTGCATCGTCGGCAGCCGAGTTGCAAATGATGGTTACATTAATGAACAGGACATTAAAAGAAAAGGGAATGAAAGTGAACGCAAGTAAGACGAAAGTTATGGTTTTTGAAAGAGAAGAAAGTAAACTGTTGCTTTTGTTTATGATTTATAGTTTGAATTCAGGTGCAGGTCCCATGCACCACACTAGGAATTTTTCTTGTATTATGGAGGCCTTTACACGCACGGATTTGGACCCAAAAAAGTTATTGGTAAGCCAAAACTTCTCTTGTGCGAAACGTTAAATGCGGACCGTTACCGATTGATTAGCAACTACGCTAATCATCAGGAAGCTTAGTAGATACGTCTTTTTCTACGAGGCTGGTGACGGTCGTATATAATATAATATAATATTTAATTATACGAAAATCGGCCAAAATAGCGCACCGCACTAATAAAAACATCATCGCCGTCCGTGGTTTACAAAATCGCAAGGATGATTGAAACATTCACGAAAGAGGGAGAACAAATGGGCTTGCAAACGAGTTTATTATGCGAATAACATATTTTCTGACGGCCCTTTATATGGGCAAAATATTCACGCAATGTGAGTGACCGGTGGTGAAAGAGCTCAAGAGAATGTGGCCGTTAGTCTTTTGTTCACCATAGAAAGGTCCGAATTCGTTTCTTCATTCGTTCGCCAGCGTCAAGAGTTAATACAGAAAATGATCAATGAATGTATCCAGATCGCTTTTCTTTGTTATTTTTTGTTCAAGAACATTA